CATGCGGCAAATGCTTGTTTCAACACATCAAAGTGCCCACACGCAAATACTTGCAATTATATTGCTCGTCAAAATGACAGTTGGTAGGCCATCGGTGTTTGCATGTGGAGCTCTGCGGTAAGGGAGCGGTGCGAGAGAGACAACTGTCAGTTTATCTAAAAAGGTGTTCGCAGGAGGCGATTTTGCATTCAACTTTGCCTGCAACTTACGCAGGGCTGGCGACCAACTTTCTTGAAAGCGATTAGTTGAAAGGCCGTTCAACCAAGAGTAGAATGCAAAGTTGAACAATGAAAGCGCCTTTTATGGCGAATGTTTTTATATTTGTTATATTTTGATATTTTCCGCGATTCAATTATTTTTCGTGCAACCGTGCGTGAGTTGAACGCAAAAGTTTCCTGAAAAATCGCCTCGTGCGAAAGCCCCAAAACCTTTAATTATTGAATCATGGTATAAGCGTAGATTATTGCATACAAGTATGTGTAAAATATTGTTGATTTGGGTCACGCGTGTGGGCGCAGCAACCCAAAATCTTTGTACATCTAACTAATTTTTTTCCGATCTTTAAATGTGTGTTATGACGGATGTTTGCTCTTTTGAATCGTTATCGGGTACGCTTAACGAAGTAGTCAGTACCAAACATTTTTTAAAGTATTGGGTTTCGATTGTTAGGTACCGAAAATTCAGCACATTTCTAATGTGAAATATGATATCGACGAAACGAACTTGAAACGTACGAACATCAGATCGGCAGCGATCTGACGCGATGTGCGTATCTCTGTTGCTACAAAATGTTGATTGGATAGGACAGTTTAAAGTTTTTTACTTATGGTAAATAGTTTTTTCGAGCATTAGTTCCATACATACGAACCTTTAGTGACATATCTGTGAAGTAATAATTCGTTTAAAGTGTTTAGCTTGTGCAAGTAAATTATGGAGGTCAAGCAAAAATTTTGAATAAATGGGTGTATTACAATTGTCGGGCTTGTAAGGGTGAGCTCACATGCATCAAGCGTATTGTTTTATATTTCTTTCTATCGCATTAGTAAACGAATGTACATAGCTAACAAGCCATTATATTTCAAATCTTGACTAAAGTATTGTGAATTTCGTTAGATGTTTTTAGAAAACATGATACTATAAATAGCAAATAATATTTCGTGCTTCCACAGGCTTGTAGTATACATAAGTTAGTGATAAAACATGGTAACAATAATGTGTATAATGTAAAAAAAATTGAGATTTGCGTGATTCCAAGAGGATAAAATTGAGTGAGAATAGTTGAAAAAAATACTGGAGAATTATGCAGTAAATAGCCTGGAAAGCGTCCAATCAAAATTAGTAAGTAAAACTAAAAATTCTGATTTATTTAACTAATTTACGCCTTTGACGTCAAAATCGCCACTTTGCCGGGGCGGCGTATTGAAATACTCATTGTTTTTTCGCCCCTTACTTGCGTGAGAGAGAGAACGTGGGAGTACACATATGTATATTAAAGTACATGTTTGTCCTCCAGCTCCTTATACGAAGAGGCTGAATGCAACATAAACTGATGGGGGCCCCGTTTCTTTCTCCCACAAATCTTGTGCGACTTAGTCTGAGTGCTGCCACTTGAAAATATTTTTAGGTATCAAATCAGTTTCCGAACTACCAACACTTTTTTTCATCATTACAGCCTTATTTCTTGAATTTACGGTGTTTTTCGAGTAAAGTGCACTTCCGCGTAACCAGGCCAAAATTGACAAAAAAAAAAAATAAAGAGGGAATCAATCGACGCGTTTTAACGCGAATAATAACAATCGGGGAGCGGAAGTTAAGATTTTTAATAAGATAATCAACCGTTCAGCTATAGAAAAACTAAAAAAACAGACCGATAGTACTTTTTACTCTGATTTCA